TTCTCAGATTTGAAGCTGGGATAATGAGCGATTTAAAGTGGACTTTTGACATATCTACAGATATAGAATACATGTATATTCAAAGAGGAATGCTAGATAGAATGGAACGTGATTGATAGGAAGTGATAGGATGACTTTCAAACTTAGAATCTTGGTCAACTCTGTGATTGAATGATTTTTTGTACAGTGGTTCAAGTTGTGAGTCTCTCTCATATTTAGTTCTTAAACTCGGTCATCAACTGAAATTAATATTCATTTGGTTTTTCGTCGTCCTCAACTTCAAGAATACATACATACTTCGATGCTCAGGTTTCATAGTTGAAATGATAAATCTCTTTGGCCATATTAAGAATACAGATGTATTTGTTTCTCGAGCTGTGTGGACTGTAGCTAAAACTCACAGGTATCTTATCGGGGATAAAAATAATATATACAAGAGCTTGAAGGGCATGATAGAGCCTCCAATACTTTAAGAAATAATATATTTAATCGTTAACCTGTCTTCGTCTGATCAGTCATGTCGTCACATAAATAAGACGGAGAAATCATGTGTGTTGTGAAATGAGAATAATGTATGGTTACCGCGGAACACGTTTAGTATGATACTTCAGCTGTTGTGCTTTTGAGACATCCAACATAAAGGCAAGTGAGTTACTTGAGAGGAAATGCACACAGACTCAGTATTGTGTATGCGGTTCTTGAAGAACTAACACAGCTACAAATATTACGAAGCGATTCTTAAGAGGAATCACTTAAATAGTATGATTAAGTATGGTCATTATCGTACGACACACAATTTTCTGCACATTCACAAACTATTTCCATCCATAAACCAATTAAAAGGAGTCAATGAATTGACTATATAAATAAGTTAAATTCAATTACTTAGAATCTTCAACAACTTTACTCAAGCGCAGTATATTAGACAATAATACATAAGATCATCTTATTGCTTAACTACTTGAGCTTTGAGAAAAGACTGTGCGCCACGCAATGATCCAACTCAGCGACGTAGTCGAACAGTTCCTCCATGCATGTTTCAGTTGTTTTCGAGCGACTGTTCACACGGTCGTTGCATTCCTGATATTTGTTGTATAGACTTTCAATATGGCCCTTAGCCTGACACTTATCCTGTAAAATGCAAATTAATTGTATTCAGTTTTTAACACACATAAACGACAAACTTCTACTCACTCTAAGTTCGGCTTGCGGGTCAACCAGCTCCGCTTCATCATCATCAGCCCGAACAACGGGAAGTCCGAAAAATTTCCAAAAGGCCATTTTAGATGCTGAAAATTACGTAAGACTTGAAATAAAAATCTGACTAGTGACAAACATTTCGATTCAAATGTAGAACACTATTATTATGTGAATGTATATGAATATAAAACAGCACATAATAATGTGAAGAGACCGCTGTTTTCCACGATGTTTATGGGCGAATTCTTGAATTATCCGTGAGTAATCAAAAACAAGTCCATTTGGAGCAGATTATATGAATTTCAAAAAAGCGCTAGCGGCAAACTTACAAAAAGCAAGGAATTAAATTATAAAAAATAAGTTAAAACCTTTTTGTCGATTGACTTGTGATGCAATCAATACGGATATTTTATAAGTAGCGTTGCCATACTAGTTAAACGTATTCACATATGTCTATTAAGTACCAGGCCAGTATTTTTACAACGCCGATGCTACCCACTGTTTGTGTCAACAATTGCTAAAATTAATCTAGGTAATCTAATTTTTGCTATATTTAGAAACAATAAAAGTTGTTTTCAATAAATAAAAGGATTATATATTTTATAGGAAGAGGAGCGTCCCAAAAAAGGTAATTTAATAATAATCGATCAAAATGCATAAAAACATCGATAACATTGATTTTACATCCCTTCGAGGCCTCGTTTTTTCTGTGTATTTTTTATTCGACAGTGTTTTAATACTTCATATGTTGTTATATATCGGGAATTTCATATTCTTTTGATAGAATCGCTACAATGCTGATAAAACAACATTAATTACTACGTTGCATGAATTCGAGGAGGTTCTGTTCGTCGAATTAAAGATATCGCAAACATTTTTGTTTTCCTCTTAATACACTCCCGGACGTGCCCGCCGACATAGTCGGTAGTCGTCTTAAGCTACTTAAAGTAAGTAACAAAAATAGTCATATTCCTTATATTGACTGTATTTTGAGTGGTCATATTGTAAAAATGCCAACAACAAATTTGCTGATGTAGCTTTATTTCTCTTTTGTAAAAGATCCCGTAAACGTGGCCAACTGATATTCTATGGATACCAGCAATAACTATACCTTAATTAATGGCGGAGAATCATCGGGCGAACAGACGCACATCACGATGCAGGGCTATCGTGATGGTAATGTCTTTAATCCTGCGTGCCAAACGAGAATGCATAGGAACTTCAAATTATTAGCGGATCCGCAGTTGTTGAAATGTGGTAGCAAGTTATATCGGTACGACGGCGTTGTTCCTGGAGACCCAACGTACCCAACAATAACACCTCGCGATCCACGAAATCCACTTATTCGAATTCGAGCCAAGCCTGTCGAACCTTTAATGCTGGTTGTACCCCGGTAAGGCGCCATTTTTGTATTTGGATTTTAGACCTTGATAAATAATAGCATGCATTATATTTACAGATTTGTGATCGATTCCGATTATGTTGGTCAGCCACCTGCAATTGAGGTCACGGTTGTTAATCTAAATGACAATATCGACAAGCAGTTCCTCTCTAGCCTACTGGACAAGTGCGGGCCCACGGATGAAATAACTATATACCATCACCCAACGACAAACAAGCATTTGGGCATCGCGCGTATTGTCTTTGAAAGCACCAAAGGAGCACGACAGTTTGTCGAAAAGTACAACCAGAAATCGGTGATGGGAAAGGTAATGGATTCTAAGCGATTTTATAGTTTGTTGAGTGTGTGCAGCAGTTAGCTGTTAGCTGTCTATACAGTGGACAATCATATTCATTCTCGTATATTACAGATATTAAACGTATTCTGCGATCCTTTTGGTGCCGTTCTAAAGAAAACCATTGATAATATTACAAATCCTGTTGCACCTCGACCATTGGCACCGATCACACCTCATTCGACAACAACGCATATTTCGGTAAATGAACATTTTCATGAATACATAGAAAAGGAAGATCCACATTTAGTTTCTGGAAGTGGTTATAACGCTTATTACAAGAGTTCCGCGTATGGCGAAGTGGAAAGAGATCGGCACAGAGATCGAGATCGTCTTATAAAAGAACGGCCACGACATTCCGTTGAAAGTGGCTATGATCGGGAACGTGGGTCACGTCATAAGTATAGTAGTTCACGTCATGGTCGCCATTACTACTCTCGGGGATCACGGGAGAAGAGTCCGGACATAAACAGAGATCGTTTATATAGTTCTAGAGACAGAGATCGAGACACAAGGTCATATGATTATTCTCGCTCGAAAGGACGAGATAAATTTCGCGAGCGCAATAGATCAAGAGATCATTCTCGCGATCGGATGAGGGACAGAAGAGATCACCGCTTAAGTTCGTCAAAAGAACGGGATTACCGAGAACGTGATCGTGACAGATCAATGGATACTGATGGCGATCGGAAGGAGCGCATTAGTTCTAAGCACGATATACGCTATGAATGCACTGAAGACGAAAATGGTACTTCGTCGGTGTTTCAAAACCAACAATATTATTCTGGCATTCCGGCACCTAACCATATACCGTCTGATTACGGATATAACCATTACAGCTACACTATGAGTGAAAGTGTCCAATCATGGAGCAGCTCCCACCGAAGGTGGCCCGCACCGCAACCAGACTCACAGATTATACCGCCCCCACCTCCGCCCCAAGAAGAGGAAGAAAACTGGGACGATCCACAACCTCCACCATTGAAGTCATATTCAAAAGATATCTCACCTTCAACGGAGTCAGTTGGTATAAAGCAACAAGCATCACCAAAACGATCACAGTCAAGCAAATCGAATAATAATCTGGAGACAGCTGCCGAGTCAGAAACCAACTCGGAGAATGTTGATTTAGACACACGTATTGCACTCATATTTAAAGGAAAGACCTTTGGAAATGCGCCACCTTTTCTGCAAATGGATAGCAGTGATTCTGAAACAGAAAAACCTAAGGTTGATGATATCAGCGAGGCAGCGGATTGCGATTCAAATAGCAACCAGAACAAGCATGGAACTGATAAAACTCTTTCGGCTTTACAGCAGCAAGGCGCTAGTGATATATCAAGTGATGACGACATTCTGATCAAGAAAGATATTCAGGTCCCAGTTGAAAAGTCCGAAGCAAATGATAACAATGACGATAATATGTCATTGTCAAGTTTATCGTCACATGAAGAAACGGTAAAAGAACCTGCACATGCGCCAACCCAACTGGCATCAAAAATGATGTTTGCCGGATATACGGATTCCCATGCTTCAAGTCATAATAATTATTATTATCATCAATCAGCATATGGATATGGCCACTATCCATCTGCCATAGCACCGAGCTCGGGGTTGACCGGAAAGTACTTTTCGAACCCTGCATATATGCAAGCGCCATACCTCCCGGGAGTTGTTTCGGCGGACTCCTTCAATTTGGATCCGTACATGCAAGCATATGGTTATCAGCATACCCAGCCAGATCAAAATGATGAGGTGAAGCAAAACGTTAAGAAGGTCATGAATATAATTGTTGATGAACTGAAACAAATCCTTAAACGAGATGTTAACAAACGCATGATTGAGATGACAGCTTTCAAGAATTTTGAGGCTTGGTGGGATGAGCAAACGGCAAAAGCGCGTACAAAACAATTGTCAGCTGCTGTCGAGACCGGTACAACTAATAATATCTCAGCGGAAAAACAAACATCGCAGGAGAAACCGCCCGACATTAATCAATTAATCAATACGCAAAGAGAAATTCCAGACTTTCAGTCCTTCACCAGTATTGGTATACGAGCTGCAATGCCGAAATTACCATCATTCCGGCGTGTGCCCAAACACCCTAGTCCCATTCCCGACAAATTGGAACGGGATCTTAGTGACCAAGAGGAAATGGTACAGCGTTCGGATTCAGATAAAGATGATTCAAATATGGGCAGTTCCGATGCCCAAAATCTTAGCTTAAAACGGCGCACTTTGCAAAGGGATATTGGAAAATTACGTCCTACATCAAACAATATACGACTGAAAAGAAAGGGAAGTGCCTCGAGTTTCTTTTCGTCGTCTACGTCGTCGTCTTCCAATAGCGATGGCGAAAATGAGGCTGACGATATGGGCAATAGAGCAGAAAATGACAGGAGTAGCGACGATGAAAGCTTTGATGAAGACATCCCACCCAGCAATTTAAGTGAAAGGGACAAGTTTACCAAGAAGCGTAGACGTGACTTGAAAGCTTCCGATGAAAAAATATTACATGTATATTCGGATTCTGAAGAAGAGAATCAATCAATAAATCGAATTTCGTCAACCAAGCGAAGTCGCTTGAAAAAAATGGACATATACTCTGATACTGATGAAGATGATGATGAGAAAACAGAGAGTAAACTATTCACGAGCTCCAAACCTAATCTCATGTCATCCATTCCGTCTGACCTCGAAGACATAAGCAAGGATAGTTGTTTTGACATGGAGGAAACGGAAATGGCTGCAACATTCGAAAGAGAATCGAAGACAGATGATAAAATGGATAGTGAATCCCGCCGATCTCCTACACCTGTTCCGCCACCGGATTACAACGAAGAAACTGTATCAAAGTCTGATGATTTAGGTACAGGGAAATCTCATTTCGGGTACGATCGTATTTATAGTGACTCGGAAGAAGAACGAGAGTATCAGGAAAAGAGACGCCGAAACACAGAATACATGGCCCAAATCGAGCGCGAATTTCTAGAGGAACAACAGAAAAAGTCAAGTCAGGCAGACAATAAATTAAATGTCGATCTCAATTTGGATATTGATAAAATGTCGAGCTTTGAGATGCCTGACACACCTGATATTTCAAAGCTGCCTCCAACACCTGGTGCGAAATTACTAGTGGAAGAAGCAAAACTATACAACAAAAATGTTATAGAAGCTGACGTCGAAGGAAAACACTATTCGAGCACAGTAAAGACTGAAATTAGTTTGAAAAGTACTAAGAGTACTAATAATCAGTCGAATGATATTGAAGATGCAAGTACTTTGCAAACAGACACCAATTTAAAAACGGAAGTTTTTAAAACAGATCAATCTGGCCCTCCGCAGAATGAGCATACACGAATTTATAACGGAAAGGAGTCGCCCGTCTCTTCCGACAGTGGATCCAGTCAAGCGTCCCAAGCTAGTCAAGTGGCATTAGAGCATTGTTATTCCTTGCCTCCGCAAGCACAAGGTGCATTTGCAGCCGGTGCTTCAGCGGACCAATTTGATTCTAAAAATAAAAAAGAGGCTGACAATATGCAGCTTGCAAGGCCTGGACCTGGAAGACCTCGCAAGGATTCTGTTCGAGCTCAAAAGAAAAAGAAAGATTTTTCAGGGCGGCAGGTTAATAAAAAGACGAAAATAGAGTCAATGAAGAATACACTTTCCGAATTGGCTCGCCAAACCGCTAACTTTGTTCCGTGTGAAATGTTCAATCCCCGTGATCAAAATGAAGAAATGGTAATCCTATACACTTTCTTGACAAAAGGCATCGATTTGGAGGACATTAAGTACATCAAGGCAAGCTATATTGAGCATTTACAAAAGGAGCCATATGCGTAAGTCAATTGTTGTTTAGATTTCAAGCAAACTTCTAATCACCTTGCTTGTTTGTAATTTCAGTATGTTTTTGAATAATACTCATTGGGTTAATCACTGCACCACGGACAGAGCGTTCTGGCCGCCTCCTCCTAAAAAACGACGTAAGGACGACGAACTCATGAGACACAAAACCGGTTGCGCACGAACTGAGGGCTTTTATAAGTTGGATGTACGCGAGAAGGCTAAACACAAATATCATCATGCTAAAGCAAACATACATGACACTCAAAATGACGATCGATGCGACGAGCCGACGGCATTGACAAACCATCATCATAACAAATTAATATCTAAAATGCAAGGCATTTCTCGTGAGGCTCGATCGAATCAGCGACGTCTTCTGACGGCCTTCGGATCGATGGGCGAGTCCGAGCTTTTGAAATTCAATCAGCTCAAATTCCGTAAAAAGCAGCTGAAGTTTGCAAAATCGGCAATTCACGACTGGGGATTATTTGCCATGGAACCTATCGCAGCAGATGAAATGGTTATCGAATATGTTGGCCAAATGATTCGACCGGTAGTTGCAGATTTAAGAGAGACTAAGTATGAAGCGATTGGCATTGGAAGCTCATATTTATTCCGAATCGATATGGAGACTATTATTGATGCGACTAAATGTGGCAATTTGGCAAGATTTATAAATCATAGCTGTAATGTAAGTATAACTAAATGGTACCAATGATTAAAGCTCTTGTTAATGTATTGATTATTGATTCTGTTTGCAGCCAAATTGTTATGCCAAAGTCATTACCATAGAGTCCGAAAAAAAAATTGTTATATATTCAAAACAACCTATTGGTGTTAACGAAGAAATTACTTATGACTACAAATTTCCTTTAGAGGAGGAGAAAATCCCATGTCTATGTGGAGCTCAAGGGTGCAGGGGTACGCTTAACTAAATCGAAGAAGAACTGGATTTAGAATATGCTGCATTATTAATTACTGAAAATGAATGTTAATAATTGCTTTTACTTTAACACACTATGTTATTACCACGCTTAAAAGTAATCAATATTATTTTATATATTCTGTTACATTTAATTAGAACATTTTTTGTATCTTAAGTAATTTAAAATAATATATAAAGAAAATTCAAAGCATCGCATCGCCGCTTGTTTTGAAAAATAGCCTTTAAATTCGTAGATTTATAGTTCGTAACGCTTTGGTTAATAAAGGTAATATCTAATAACATGTAAATTTGACTACAAAATGCCTGTTTTTTATATGTTTCAGTTTTTAAGAATCGTATCAATAGTCAGCAATATTTACCTTATTAAATATAGTTTTTTAAACTTAATTTTAAGCAATATGGACCTCTACTTCATTAAGTATTTATTTTTAATAGTAACAGTTCTTTCTGGTATGTAAATATATATAAGTTTACATTGAAGTGTATAATATTAAAATGTGAATAATCTGTATAAAGTAAAATGCTAAAAAAAGGATTTGCAACGCGTTTTTCCTTTATCCATCAAATATTTCAATGGAAAACAACGAATATATAAGACTCATTTTTATGTACTTCAAAATCGATTTAT